AAATGGAAGGTCCTCCCAGCAGGGATCATACGGCGGGATGGGTTCTCCTTCATTACCACATCCATTCCTTGCAATATGTCACGGGGAATTGAGAAAAGGTTCTTGCACAAATAATCCCTCAACTTGCAGAGTTTGAGCTCATTGACAAGCGTAATGGTGAATTCATAACTGCGATGCCTCATATCTTCCCCATCACGGAATTCCACAGTAAATTTTCCTTGTGGTAAATGAACTGCACTAAATATGTTTTTCTCACCATCATATGCAGTCATTTCCAGTGGAAATTCATCAGGATTATCCTGGAACAACTTGTTTCGGATCACAGACAGGTCAGCCTTTGACACTCTCACAGGACGGCCATTATTCAGAACCCCATCTGGTTTGACATCAATATCATAGTGCCTTATAATGCTCTGAGGGTTGAAATCAACACGAAAATGGTTGACTCGCAGCCTAACAGTTCGAATGGCTAATTGGCCACCTTTATCAGGTCGTTTAACTGGTACAGTTTTATTCGTATTCTCCAGGGAAGAAGAAGAAGTTGAAGGTTGTTCAGCAATTTGCACTGATTGCACACCTCTAACAACAGGATCTGTGAAGTTAAGAAAATTATGTTAACAGGGCTAACAGGAAATGTATAATAAGTTAAGACTCAAAGTGTAGAAAACAACAGTATTAGTTGCCATCAGAACAATCCATCATTCAGCAAACAACATTATGAAGGGCGGAAAAAGAACAGACAAGAAATTAATTAATCCCAAAAACCATCATTGCAAACAATCCTTGTCATGCTATTAATGAATTATCTACAGAAAACTTATTCCTAAGTAGGAAGAAAGAATCATAAACCATTAATGAAGAAAAAAATAAACTGAAATTGTAGATTGTAGCATGCAACCCCATTGCTCAGTTTCACCAAAATTAATAAGTCAACAAAACAGTCAGGGAGGAAGGAATAGATTCATACGCATAACAGGATCTGGAACAGGAGCAGATCTATCTGGGGCTGCTTGAGATTGTGATGCAGCTGCAACCCACGTTCCCCTTACTCCCCCTCCACGACCACTAGACCCACCTCTGTTAGGCTCATCCCCACCACGAGTGAAACTCTGAGTTGGAGTTCCCTGAGGCCAAACTTGCCCTGAAACCCTCTGATCCTGATCATGATGATACTGTTGTTGTTGCTGATCCCTTCCTCTTCCTCTCCCTCCACGACCACCGGACCACCCACCTCTGCCGGACCCATCCCCACCACCATAACCGGAACCCTCATGAGCAGCCGAATAACCTTGTTCTCGCCCAGTCTGCTGATACTGCTGCTGCTGCTGATACCCACCTCTTCCCCCACCACGACCGCCATACCCACCTCCCCCACCCTGCCCTTGATAGGAACCTCTCTGTTCCTGATAAAAACCACCCCTCCCTCTTCCGCCTCTAGACCCACCTTCATCACCCCTTCCACCTCCTCCGCCTCTAGACCCACCTCTACCACGACCACCACCTCTCCCCCTGTACCCTCCTCTCTCCATTGGACACGGGAGCAAAGCAAAAGAAAGGAATCAAAGACGCTCTCTTCTCACTACCACAGTAGGCCACCAAGAGAGACAACCACAAAAGCAAAGGGAACAAAGCAACAAAGTAATCGTCTTTACTCTCGACACGGTTAGGTGATAATGAAATTCCAATGGTACCCTTTGACGGTTTAGACCAATGGGGGTTGTTCCGCGCACGATAGGACTGGGGGTAAAAACGACATCCGAAGACTACGCGGAAAAAGTACGAAAAGAAAAAGAAAAAAGGGGGTGGGTTCCAGAATCTTCGATATATGCGAAGGGGGAGAGTTGGTAGGAAGGAAAGTGGGAGGAATTGACGGAGTGTTTAATGGCTCCCTTTCCTAATAGGCTTCGTGACTTTCGTCTAACTTTCCAATTTTCAAAACAAGAAACGTTTTATGCTAAAAACCAATTATATAGCGACAACATTTTATTATATATGTTTTTTTTCTTTTAAAGTAAGAGCATCGTACCTATGGGCTGATTACTTTATAAAAGATTATAAACGTGAAGCTGTATAAATTTTTTTTCTTTTGAATGTAAACTTAAAATTGGATAGTTTATTTACCTATTAAATTTAAATAATTTAATGATTATTTTTTTTGTTAAAAGTAAAAAATTTTAAGTTTTAATCACTTAACATACGAGTAAAATAGAATAAGAAATACAAAATAATTATATTCTATTGTGCAATCAAAATAAAAAAAAATTGAATAATATATTTAAAAAAATTAATTTTTTTAAATATTTATCTTAATATTTGAACTTAAACCTAATATATTTGTTTACAATTAAATCCCACTTGGGGGTTTTAATATATGTAATTAAATGAAGAGATTAATGCATATTAGCTTCTGACTTTTAAAAATAATTAAAATTTTAACTTATATTTGAAAACTAAACTTTCATCTTATTAAATGTTGATATCTAAATATAGAAACACATTATATTTTTTAATATAATCTATTTCTAAATTTAAATATCAATATTTAGTAAGATAATTTTTTAAATTATGAATTAGATTTTAATTAAATTAAAAGACATTATTTAATATTAAAACTCCAATTATTTTTAAGAGTTAAAACTAGATGCACTTTTCTCTTAAATGAATAAATATATATAATATTATATATTTTAATATATATATATATAAAAATTAATTATTAATTGGCATGTAAAATTAGAAGAAAAAATTGTATAAACAAGTATTTTTCTTTGGTAAAGTTGCTTATGATTATCATTCTT